TGTATTTCTACGATATACCAATTGAAATCTTTAACGACGTGTAACCAATTGCAAATGATGTAGTTAACATGATTCACAGTGTCGATTTAGTCGAAGGAACGATTTAATGTTGCACCTGGTATAACAGAATTCTTCAAGCTTAAAGATACGATTCATAATATTTAATGTCAAAGCTTAAAGGTTTCATTTATAATATGTAATGTCAAATGTTTGAAAAGAGAAAAGAAAAAGGAAAGAAAAAAATATATATACATATCTATGAATATCTCTGGTCGTTGAGTCGTAAAGATATATAATTAAAATTAATGAATTACCGTAATGGACAGACAGACATAAACGGTCAGAGAGACAGAGACAAAGAGAGAGAAAGACAGAGAGAGAGAGAGAGAGAGAGAGAGAGAGAGAGAGAGAGAGAGAAAGATAGAAAGAAGAAGAAAAAGAAGAAATTGTCATTACCATAAATCTGATAATTTCGTACGACGTAAAACTTGGCGATCACGCGATGCACTCGATGAAATTAAAAGGAAAGCTGAACGATCGTGATAAAGAGACGCGCGTAGTAAAGGTTGGTACAGAGCACAAGGAGAAGCAGAAAATTAATCGACCACTATAAAGATAAACGTCGAATCGTACGGTACGATCTGAACCTTCGTCTTCTAGCTAGAGTTCTAACCACAAGTATATAAGTACACATATATGTATACATACACACACAAACACGTGTATATATGTATATATATATATATGTACGTGTTTATGTATGTATATATATATATATACACATATTTATGTATATATGCCTATTACATACATGGAATAGAAATTGCATCCAAGCTCGCGATTATTGGTGATCGCTAATTAGCTTCGGCTGAATTCGCGCGTTAAAACTCGAGAGACCAAGAGAAAGACGACAGGAAGTGATGTCACGATCGTACATTTTGCCTCATTTCTCGATTCGGTACATCGATCTCGTGCATTAATTATCGCTAATTGATAAACGCCTCGTTTTCTTACGAGGAAATGGATAAGCCAGCTTTTGAAAGAAAATCAACTTAGACGCGTTTAAAGAGGTCCCATTAACGAGTTCTTTCGATTTTCACGAAAACCACCAAAGAAAAACCATCAAAGGAAAAGGAAAAAGAAGAAGAAGAGGAAGAAAAAAATACGTGCTCCCGTTTTCGAAAATAAGAAGGAAAAAAGAAAAACAAGATTTAAAAAAAAAGAAAAAAAAAGTATATATATATATATATGTGTGTGTGTGTGTGTGTGTGTGTGTAATGAGAAAATAAAAGACATATTTACAAAGACGTAAAATAAAATATTTTTACATGGAAATAAAAATACGATGATAATAGATATTATTTATTAGATAATAAACAAAATGAGCGATAATCATAAAGTATAATGTAAGGAATATAACGGTATAAAATATATCGGACGTATGGAATAAGTCGTAAAAATCTTTGGGAAGAACGATTTCTTTGCAAATATCAAAGTTACTACTACATCGTGAAAATGTCGATACCCGAAGATATGTATTATGCAGTTTGCATGGTAAAGTCAGAAATGTGCATCTTCATGTGCACAAGCAAACGCACATATACACATATACACTTTCACGATTCTGAATCTGACATGCACGTTAGTTATGCGAGTAATAAAATATCTTGAAGTCTTGGGACGTTTTGAAAATCAATAAGCACGTAATTAAAGAGCATCGGTGTCCAATCATTATACCGAGGAGAGTGCCCTTTACCTCGGTAATTAAAATGAACGTTTTCATCATTGAATTACTCCTTTCATTTCAATTAAAAATCATGGATTAACCAACAAGAAGATTCGCACGGACTTCTGTCTCGTCGTTATGTTTCGAAGATGAATGAATGAAAGAAAAAAAAAATATTTACGACAAAGATATAGAATAAATATGCTGAGATAAAGGAATATATATGCTAAGATAAAAAAAAATATATATATATATATACTGTGCTCACGTTATGGGAGATCGTGTCATATTAAAAAAATTCTTTCTTAAAAAAAAAAAAAAAAAAAAAAAAAAAAAAAAAAAAAAAAAAAAAAAAAAAAAAAAAAAAAAAAATACACTAAAATTAAGTCGATTGGATTTCTTTTATGTTTTACTAAATATCATATAACGCTTCATCTTCATTTTTTTTTATTTTTTTTTCTTTTTTTTCTTTTTTCTTTTTTTTTTCTTTTTTTTTTTTTAGCGGAAATATTAAACATCTATCGGGCGATATTTCTTTTAAAAGTAGTCAGTCCTCTTCTTCTTTTTCGCAACGTCAATTAATCGGTCTTATTTATCATTTTTTAGACGCGATTAATAATTTATAATAAAATTCACGAAAAATAAAGAATAGAAAAGTTTTACGCGCGTACAAATTTTTTCATTTTAAAAATAAAAAAAAAGAAAAAAAAAAGAGAGAGAAATAAGGTGTATTATTTTGTTATTGTTTAATTATAATAACGATAGTTATTATAATTCTCAACGAATTCGAACACATTTGTAAAGTAACGTTGATATTAAGTGAAACACGAGTGGGCCTATATTTTAAACCTACTTTGCGATCTGTCAAACGAGAAAAAAGAAAATAAAAAAAACATTAAAAAAAAAAAAAAAAAAGAGAGAAGAAAAAAATATGATATACTAACACGAATATTAACGAAGAAATCAACC